CCAACTTACGGTCGTCAGATAGTCTGACCAGAGGCAGGCACGCAGCTCCAGGGAGCAAACCCAAACCCTGCAGCCAGGAGAACTGGGAAGCTGGAAGGGGGCACAGTCAGTTCTTAAGTGTAGGCAGCAAACAGCCATTCTCCAGCCTCTGCTGCAAGTTCTGATGTGTGAGAGGGAAGAGGGAATGAGATTTCATTTGTGAATCCTCTTCTCCGGTATCTTAGACCAGATCAGAAGGCTGGGTGCAGTGCTGTGGCATCAATGTCCTGTCCCACTGTCAGAAGATCAGTGGAAGAGAAGGGATGAGCTAGAGGGAGCCATACTGCTTGCTGCAGCCGCCTGAGCCCCTCTGGCACGGCCATGCCAGCACCCCGCAGAGAGGCTGCTGTTTCCAGGAGTGCCTTTGGCATGGTTAGCCCTTGTGGGCAGCGTGCCGTTTGCCAGGGAGATGGCTACTGTTGTCACTTGTTAATGAGCATCAGCACAGCATCCAACACACTCCAAAGCAGAAGGAAACATGTATTTGCAGGCTTGAGGCAGCACTTCGATGACCACTCTGGCAGGGAGCCTTGCTCCAGCTGGCTCCCAGCCCTGACCCCGACCCAGGGAGCTGCTGCTCTCAGGCCATCGACCCCTCCAAACTACTATCTCCCATGTGGGTTGATGACCTGAGCTTGGGACCAACAGCTCTGACACTCTGTCCCTTGCACAGTCAGATGCCCAGACCTTCAAGGAGGTGTCCTTGCAGGCAGGCATGGCTCTGGGCTGCCCAGGCACCCCAGATGAAAGGGGGCATCTAAAATGGGGAGAGGTGGTTTGTGAAATACATAGTCCTAGGAAATTATTTGGACCCTTGAGATTAGGCAGGGAACTATAAAGCAAAAGCTTTGTACTGGAGCTGTGTGACTTGGGGGTTTCGGTTGACAAGAAGCTCAACATGACCCAGCAATGTGTGCTCGCAGCCCACAAAGCCAACTGTATCCTGAGCTGCATCAAAAGAAGCCTGACCAGCAGGTCAAGGGAGGTGATTCTTCCCCTTCACTCTGGTGAGACACCACCTGGAGTATCGCATTCATCTCTGAGGCCTCCAACATAAGAAGGACATGGATCTGTTGGAGCAAGTCCAGAGGAGGGCCATGAAGATGATCAGGGGGCTGGAGCCCCTCCCCTGTGAGGACAGGCTGAGAGAGTTGGGGTTGTTCAGTCTGGAGAAGAGAAGGCTTCAGGTAGACCTTAGAGCGGCCTTCCAGTACTTAAAGGCGGCCTGCAGGAAAGGTGGGGAGGGACTCTTTATTGACGAGTGTAGTGATACAATGAGGGGTGACGGTTTCAAACTGAAAGAGGGGAGAATTAGATTAGATGTAAGGAAGAAATTATTTACTGTGCGGGTAGTGAGGCACTGGAACAGGTTGCCCAGAAAGGTTATGGGTGGCCCCTCCCTGATAGTGTTGAAGGCCAGGTTGGATGGGGCTTTGAGCAACTTGATCTAGTGGAAGGTCCCACTGCCCATGCCAGGGGCGTTGGAACTAGATGATCTTTAAGGTCCCTTCCAACCCAAACCATTCTGTTGTTCTATGACTAGTTTGCATGTGTGTGTTTGGCTTTTTAATGAAATACCAGTAAATACAATATACCCGCAGATAAGAAAGATGGGCGTTGGCTGACTACTTTGTGCGTTAAACATGAATATACTGGCATTAGCTAAATAACAGCATCATTATGTAAATAATGCAAGTCTCTCCACTCAGCAGTTCTTAGAACTAACGACTATTTATTTTTGTAAATATGTTTTGCCTGTGATTAAGTAGAAATAAATTGACCCTTCTCCTCTAACATTTCATTACTTCTTATGTAATGTTGATGGGAACAGCACTTTACAGTTAATGTAGCTGTGCATTTTGTGTCCTTCCCTTCTTTTTCCTGATCATAGCCCAGTTAATACCACGGGCCAAATCTGCTACTACTGTAAGTCAGTGTTGCGTCACTTGCATCATTTGTGCAAGGGCCAGGGAGTGGCCTGCGATGCGGAACATTGATTCACTGAGTCTTTATTCTGTGTAAGAGGCATTTAATCGAACAAATTGCAAGTCAAGTGCTGCCAGGTCAGGTAACAATCTCTGTGCCGAACCTGTCCCTGCAGAACAGCTTTCTCAGGGAAAGGGGTGGCAGAGGAGGGCACAGAAGCAGGACTAGTTTCAGGTCATCTGCCTTTTAGAAGTCCCTTTTTCCTGCCCTTTCGCTCAGGAGCAGCAGGCACTCTCTGCTTCCCAGCTTAGCATTGACATTTCTGTCCTGATTTCTCACAGATTGTGTTTGAGGGATTTATACGCAATGGCCACTCAGGAGAGCTCGCCCTTGATGACATCCGGCTAGGCACTGACATCCCGCTGGAGAACTGCATGGGTACGTGCCGCATCCAGCCATGGGGGCCAGGGATGGTGGGGAGGGCAGCTGGGGCTGGAGAGCCACTTCTCCCCTGCTTGAGTTACCGGGTCGTTTTCTGGATCTCAGCTGGGACTTCCCTTGCCCATGAAAGAAATGAGGGGGACTCAGTCTCTGGGGGACGGGGGCTCTCACTGCATTGGTGTGAGAGGCCTGAAGCACATGTCTTTGCTGCACCAAGCTGAGAGAGCAGCTGAGGGTTACTAAGGACTGTTCTATGTGATAAGGACATACATCAAATATAAAAGGAAAATGCTGGACAAAAGAAACCAGCTGTCAGTCAGTTTTACACACTTAGAGGGGCCGATAAGTTCAAAAGGAGTCTTCTCTAATAAGAAATAAAATAGCAGAGGGGTTTTACAGCAACGTTAACAGAATAACAAAAGAAATTTTTGTCCTAGAATTCACCGTTCCCCAAACCAGGCCAAAAGCCAGGTGGATTCATTCAATCTGAAAGACAAAGAGGACTTAAAAAAAAAAAAAAAAAAGAGCCAAAAAAGTGTGTTTTAGTAGCTTACCCTGCCCCGTTTCTCTAGTTGGCACTGATGGCTCTGGTCACCGTCTAGCTTGGATGTGGATTTAGAGCCATCCCAGTTGAGCGTGGGACTGGCAGTACTCAATTAGTAGGATCTGTGCTGAGAGCTGCCCACAGTAGCAAGGCCCTGCTTTTCTATGCAATCTGAGGGAGGTGTGTTTCAGTGTTAAACACATGCAAAGTCTCTGACCCATCCTGAAGTCAGTGGAAAAAGTCAGGCGGAGCAGAGCCTCTCTCCCCTTTGGGCTTTGAAAAGCCCCATTCAGTGAAGCTGCTCTCCTCTTTCCCACCAAGGGAGGGGAGGATCTTGACACTTCCTAACCCAAGCAGGACAGATGCTCTCTTCCGAAGAGCGTGTCTCAGGGGAGTAGGCATGGGACAAATTGTGCCCTGGAAGGGCTGGTTGCATTGTTTCCCACCCTGTGCAGGCAGGCGATGGTGAAAATGGTGCGGGAACTAGTGTTAATAATAGAACAGAGGACCAGGACTGCCCCAGAGATGCTCTTGAGCAGTGCCAGTCCCAGTTTCTTTGATGCTTTGAACTCTGCTGGTCTCCCATCTGCCAAAGGAGCTAATACTCCGTATGTCAAATTCCCTGTATTTAAGGCTTGACAGTGGTGTTTTAATCCCTTGCCTTCTATGGCATTAAAAAGAAGCAAGGCTGATGGTTAACGCTAATAGCATTTCCTATCTAACTTCTTTTGAGCTCATCAATTCACCTAGCTCCAGTGTTACTGTATCTTGGACCTCATGAACCTAAAGCTTAATATTTCAAAACAAAAGCATTAATAAATTATAAAGTTTCAAGCATTGCCAACCCTAAAAATAACACCATACTGCTACACACAATTATTTGTCCCAGTCTAGGAAGTTGAATGGGAATCTTAAAACTGGTAAGAGTAGTTTATTTCAGATCATTTCTAACAAAGGCCTCCCACTGCATACTTTAGCATAACTCATGTATCATTTCTGATGTCACCAAAATAATAATGAAATGGTAGAGATACAGTGCTGCTCTCTCTGTCAGGGCTATGAGAATATCTGACTCCAGCCAGGCTACTGTTTTTTCAAATGTAATCATGGGAAGTAATCTGAAAGAATGCTAATAAGTCACAATAATTTTTTCCTTTGACAAATGTGTCATTCACATTCCGAACCGGAGTGATGATTTCATAGCACTCAGTATAGCCAGAGTCTGCTTCTGTGACTCACAGGCATAATGCAGAAGTAATCTAAAAATAATCAGAAGTCTATTACTTCTGCAAGAAAGTAATCAGTAATAAGTACGGATTATTGCTTTTCAGATCCAGTAATTTGTAATAGATTACTTCTTCAAAGTATCTTGAAAGAAGAAAAAAAATCACTTGCCTTTGTTTCTTGTCACTGTGAGGTGGAGAGGAGCATGGCATCGATGCCCAGAAGTAACACAGTTCCCATGTGAATAACAATGCCAAAGTTGAGCCAGAAACAAAACTGCTCTTGGAAATTTTAGGGAGTTTCAGGGTTTCATCACTGGGGCAGGTGGGGCTTTGTCTTTGGATGACTCAGGCCAGCCAGATGAATCCAAATGACCCTCAACCTTGGACATGTTTTTCTCTGAAGTCTGTGTCTCAGTCAAAGCTTATTGCATCTAGTCAATCCCCAGCTGAGACAGGGTTTCTCTCCATCCTGCTGAGGTTGGCTGGCACCCTGCACCGTTCCCAGTGAGTGGCTTCTATGGGGCACAGCCGCACGCCTGCTCTGCTTGGCTGCTGCGAATCAGCAGAGACATGAACTGAGGCCTTGTGTGTAATATTCCCCTCTCTAATATAGTTTTTGGTTTTTTTCCTTTGCAGAACCCATCACAGCTTTCCCAGGTGAGAACTTCTACTTTCCAGGTAAAATTGCACTTCTCTCTGTGGTTTCTTTCTGCTGGCATGGGCTTTTACATCGAAGAAAAATGATGTGCGTGCTTTTACAAACAGCAAATGTTCTGAGCAGTGAAATGGCAAGTGTGTGCTAAACCTCCCCCGCCGCAGCAGCAGGAGGTGGCACTCTCTGTCTCCTGTTAGGTGACAGGGAGCAGGCAGACAAGTCCTGCTGTCTTGGGGCTGAACAGCATTAGGAAACCTGCCGTCACAAGGCACCCAGCCTCATGAAGAGCAGTTGAGCCCAAAATGGGAAGTTTGAGGAGTAAAGGGTAGTTATCAACTCATTTAAACAAAAAAACAGTAGCAAATGTAAAGTGGAATGAGGTGGCAATGACTTAAGTTAGGGGAGGTTGTTCTGTAGTTTATAGATGCTTAGGCAGTGGTGGTGTTTGAGCTGCTGATGGAGCGTGGGCCCAGTCTGCTTGGTAGGGGAAAGGGAGCTGGGAGGTAGAAGTGGGAGAGCAAACTGCCATGAGGAGCTCTGAAGATGACAGTCAATAAAAGGAAAACAAGGTGAAATGGTGCATTTAATAGCTTAATACTAGCCTGGAGGATAGAAACTGGCATTTCTCTGATCAAACTTACAGAGTGAGAGCAAAGGTAAGGAACTCAGAAAAAATGCCTTGCTCTGAGCAGTCAGTGAGGATGCTGCTTGTGTTGCTCTGGCATGGGAAAAACTATCTGCTTTTGCAGGGAAGATCAGTTTAGTTTGTTTGAGGCTTTTTCCCTGTGTTTTGATTTTGGGTTTTGTTTTCCTGCCTGCCTCTTCAGGAATGCACCTGGGGGTTGTGTCCTGATGAAGAGCAAACTTGGGGCTCCCCTAAACTTTGAAAATTGTTTTGTCTGTTCAGTCAATGCACGCTGTGCTTTCACTTGGACATGATGTCCATACTCTTCCCATCCCCTGCTCTGCTGGTAGGCTGTAAGACATGGCTGGGCTCTGCCTTAGAAGGAGCTGCACTTCTGTGCAGGACAGAGCTGTTTCTGGTGGGTAAATGCGCTGGGAGCTGTGGTAGTAAAGGCAAAGTAAACACTGAGACTGAAGTCACATGTGCGACTCGGTCCTTGGGGTGTGATGCAGGCTGTGGAGCGTTACCAACGGGAGGGACATGCACAGGGCATAACACCATGTTTTACAGTCATACCCATACTGTAACAAACTAAGAATTTGGGTTTGCTTGTTTGTAGGCTGCTTATTTATCTGCTGCTCAGGCTTGTGGTGTCACTGAAAAGCTGCTGCAAATTCTCAGCTGACAGTTAAAGCCTCACAACCCTTCCTTACTTATACCGCTCTATGTTCTCTTGGGCCTGGTCTGGTACCTATTTGCAGACACCATCCTTGTCTTTTGGAGCTTGTAACATGCATGTCATCTTCAGTTTGAATCTCCTTCTGGGTCCTCACATTGAGTGTATCCCGAAGTCCTGCTAACTCATGTTGTTTCTTTTCCTCTTAACCCCATGCCCTGCTGCCTGTATGCCTGCAAATCCCTGTTGTATTCCTCAGGGCTTGCTGACTGGGCAGGGACAGCATTTGCTGTACCTGGCACAGTGAGGTCCCTGAGCACCACAGGCAGATGCAGTTGCAGGCACACCTCCCTTTCACACAGGAGCTCACCAGCTTGTGCCAGTGGGCTCCTGCCCGTTGCTAGCTCTCTTAAGGAATCCTAGCACTGGTCACAACTGGTCATCAGCCAGGGCAGGAATAGATGGGACAGAGGGACGGAGTGACCCGGGAAAGAGCAACATGCAGAGGGAAAGTATGAAGAAGTGAAGATGAAGATTGAAGACCCCAAGATCGTAGTTAAAATGAGGGAAAGACAGAGATGCCCAACAGAAGGAGAGGGTAAAAGGCAGAGGGAGAAGTCCCTGGCTGGAGAAAAAAAAAGGGAGCTGGAGAGGAAAGATTGTGCAGGAAGTATTGAGATGTTCTGTAGACCCCACTCCTGCTATTACACGATGAGCTGAAAAGTCAGATGCCGTTAAAAATAATAGCAAATCCTTCCTCTCCTGGCTTGGGAGCAAAGCTGAAAATATGCACCTTCCAGGCTCCAGGATCACAAGACAAATAATAAGAGGAGAATTGTGTGGGTGGAATATCTTTCAGCTAGTGGGTCGAGATCTTACAAGACCAGTCAAGTGTGCTTAAACCGTGCTGCATTTGAGAGTTGATGCATCTCACCCTTAAAGAACAGGTGTAGCAGCTGGCTGGAAACAAGGAGTTAGATAAATATCAGGTTAAAAATAAGAGACATATTCCAAAGTGCATGGAGACAAACCATGGGGAGAATTTACCTTTGGGACTGCTGGATTCTCCCACACTGGGTATCCTGAAATCAAGACAGGGATATCTTCTTGGAGGAATGACAGGTAGCAATTAAGGGGTTGAGGCTGACACTGGTTTTGTGGCATTCAGATTAGATGAGTGTAATACTTGCTTTCATCTGTGCCATCTATGAAAAATCCATCTGTGTTGCTTGCCCGCAGCAGTTAATGTCAGTGATTTCAGAGAGGAATATGAGCTGTGATATGGCAGTGGCAGAGGAAGGCAGGCAGCCCTTTAGGAGGCTCTCTGGAAAAGACTTTCTCCTTTTGTTTTTTTTTGCCCTGGATGACTCTTGCTGTTGCTTCTTTTGAGTTTTGATTTCTGCTGCACAGCTCTAAAACTGGTCCCTGTACAGTCTTCCCTATTGGGAAGAGGAGGGGGCTGTACCTGGCCAGGTTGGAGGTGTGAGCATAGCAGCACACAGACATGAAATAGTCCACCTTGTAGGGTTTAAATCAGGTTTCCACTAAACGGTGTCCCAGGCTGTGCAGAAACACAGCACCCACACACTTGACAGCAACAGCAGGAGGCATTTCATTATTAAAATGAAAGCCCTAGCGAATAAATGAGGAAGGGCAAGTGTGTGTGTATGTGTGTGTGCGTGTGGTGGAAGGCAAAGGGGAGTAGAAAAATTATTAAGTTAAGAAGATGGATTTTTTTTTTCCATCTCCCTGAGCAGAGAACTTTTCCACTGATATAAGAGAAAACTTTCAGAAAGCAGCAGAGCCAGTAAAAACAGAGCAGATAACATCAGCACTGTGTGCTGAGTGGATGGGCAGCTATATTTAGTGGATGACAGTGTAAGGAAGAACAATCATTAATGTTGGGAATTGGCTTCGTTAGGGCTTAGAGACAGCTGAGTGTGATTCCTTAATGACTTCAGTTGCTAAATGAACTCTCCAGACTTCTGCTATCTCCTCAGCAAGGCT